TAAGCTGAAAAAGTCGAATTTAATGCCTCGCGTTGAGTCTATAGCTTAGGGCCTCACATTTTTACATTTATCATTATTTCATTAGGAAAACAGCCTGTTATGAGTTATAGCTTAGGGTCACAACAAGACAGTCCGGCCCTGACTGCAGTCCCATACAAAATTACAGTATTTGAGATTGTGAGAGGCTATAATATAGCTTCCACTATAGAATCCGTCTGAAGGAGCAAAATTTTTATGGTTCGCCGTACATAGGGTTTTGAAAATATAAGTTAAATATAACTTATATTTAACCAAAATAAAGTATTTTATTTCAATTTATCTTTAATCTGCGTTATACACAGTTAAATCTCTGAATAATGGCCACTGAGGGAAAAATAATACTCGGTGTTAAGGAGGTTCAACTGTATATTATTCTTGCATTGCAAACAACTATAGATATCGAACATTTTTAATATTTTTAAAATCATTTTCTTACGCAATATTTTAACCGTTTACGAAATCGAAAGTTACCCTATTTAGGCCCATGCATCGAATTAAAGAAATATTCGATCATATTTCTTTAATTCGATGCATGGGCCACTATATTATACTTGTATTTTATAATATAGTGAAAAATATAAGACCCAAAATAAATTTAAAACGATTAAACGATATTTTAAAGTTAAAATTATAAGCAAATCTTATATTCTTAATAAACTATATCAGTGCAAAATTTTTAAAATATCCAATAAATTGAATGTATAATAAACAATTCGTAGAGTATTAATATTCATAAATTAAATGATTAATTGTAATATAAGCACAAATTAGGCCAAGATCTTTAAATGCTAGAGGCATAAAAATGAATATTAAAAATAATAAGGGAGAGCCAAATTCAGGTTTTTACACATTCTTAATTATCATTAATAAATAATTATACTGTATTTATATTTTGCATAAAACATTTTTTAATTATTTAAATACAGTCAAACCTTTGAACAACGGCAACTGACGGGAGCATTAAAAAAATGACCACTGTTTGGAAGTTATTTTTATGCATTTTTCTTCAGAAAGAAAACAAAATGCTCGAAAAAAATGACCAGTATTTTCAGGTGGACGTTATTGCGGGTTCGACTGTAATTAATATGTATAATTTTTATAATAAATATTTATTAAAATTTTATTTTATGTCAAATTTCCGCTCTATTAATAAGAAATTTTGCGTAATAAAACGATAAAAATATTTAAATATTTAATTTATTTATAGTTTCTAAATCCAATATAGATATCTTCTCTATTCTTATAGAGTTTCTCTTTCGCGTATTTTATTTTTATTTTTCCTAAAAGAGTGTGTAAATTGTTTGACGTTATTTTTATATGTAAATAGGTCGGGTGACTCAATTCTTTGGCAAGAAGCCTTTACTAGAATCCAAGTATATAAATTATAATAATATAAAGGAATATTATTAAAAAGGAATTAATTTCGAATTTGTAGTTCATGGGCTAAGTTGATATAATTTAAACTTTGACCCCTGATAATAATTAAATTTTTAATTATTTTAACATAAAATAAATACAAGAAGCTTGACCTAAATTATTTTCAGATGATACACTTACCCTTTTATAAATTTACAGAATTTATATATTTAAAACTGTTAAAAATAAATGCAATATATTATTAATTACAATTTTAAATATTTTATATGAAAGAATATTAAAAATATAAATTTATTTTATGTAATTGAATATCCATTTTTGTAAATTATGTTAAAAAATAAACATTTATTTATGAT